ACTCAGAAATAAATTTAGAATCAAAAATATAAGACTTATACAATGAAAGCTACAAAACATTATTGAAAGCAATTAAAGAAGGCTGAAATAAATGGAAAGATATCCCACATTCATGGATCAAAAGACTTTATACTAGTAAGATAGTGGGCTTCCCTGGTGGTGCAGTGGTTGAGAGTCCGCCTGCCGGTGCAGGGGACGTGGGTTCGTGCCCCGGTCCGGGAGGATCCCACATGCCACGGAGCGGCTGGGCCCGTGAGCCGTGGCCGCTGAGCCTGCGCGTCCGGAGCCTGTGCTCCGCAACAGGAGAGGCCACAACAGTAAGAGGCCTGCGTACCGCAACCACAACTACTGAGCTCACGCGCCTCAACTAGAGCCTGCGTGCCACCAACTACAGAGCCCACTCACCCTGGAGCCTGCGCACCACACCTAGAGAACAGAAAACCTGCACGCCACAACTAGAGAGAAGCCCATGCGCTGCAACAAAAGATACTGCATGCCGCAACTAAGACCTGGCAAAAAAAAAAAAAAAAAAAAAAAGATGGCAATACTTCCCAAATGGAATTACAGATTCAATGCAAATCCATAGCAAAAATCCCAGCTGCCATTTTTTTTTTTTTTTGGCAGAAACCGACAAGCCAATGCTGAAATTTATTTGGAAATGCAAGGGATCCAGAATCGCCAAAACAATACGGAAAAAGCAGAGCAAAAGTGGAGGACGCATACTTCCTGATTTCAAAACTTGTTACAAAGCTACAGTAATGAAGACAGTGTGGTCCTGGCATAAAGATAGACATAACAAATCAATGGACTAGAATTGAGAGTCCATAAACAAACCTTCGCATTTGCAGTCAATTGATTTTTGATGAGCAACCAGACAATTCAATGAAGTTGGACTCTTCCTCTCGGCCCTCACAGTGGATGAGGGCTTTGCCCAAGAGCTGCAAGGAGGCTGCTGGGGCCAGGCTGCTAGATGACCCTAGAGCCTGCCTGGCTCAGATCAGCTGGCTGGGTGAGGTCACTGCCTGGTGAGGCCCTGGGACGAAGGTTTAGTCATCCTCCAGCTGCATCTGTACAAGAACCTCTGATCATCTGTACAAGCACCTCTGACCTGGGGACTACAGTTCCCCCTTGTTCTAAGTGGGAAACTGAGATGCCAAGATCCCTCCTGGCCTGTAAGTAGCAGCCCTGGGGTTAAAGCCAGATCCCTCTGGTCCAAAGGCACAAGGTTTCCCCTCCCCTGCATCCTTTCCCTTGACTGGCTCCGCCTCCTCTTGGGAAAATAGAGCCCTGAGCAGGGATGTCAGAGGCCCTCCCCCACAGACAGGCTGTGGCCTGTTCCCTGGCCTATCCCCATCTGGAACACACTTCACCACTTCACATCTGAAACAGTGTATACACACACACACATACACACACACACACACACACACACTCAGAGGCCATGAAACACTGACTCATCCTGGGAGGGCTACCCTCCAATGTTTTCTATTTTACTTAAAAGTCCCAGCTATCCCACTAACTCGGGCATAGCCCACTAAGCGGTGGTGAGGGCAGTGGGGACCTCTGTCTGAGTGTTCCCACTGCCAGGACACCAGATTCCCCCTGCCAACCCCTGGGGGTGTCCCCTGCAGGGCTCTCAGAGACAGGCACAGATGACCATCGATGCATATGAGCAATTTATACATGTCTTTAGCTGTTTTCTCTGGTTTCTAGAAGTAGATAAACTTAGTTGAAGGGGAGGGTATCAGGGTCCTATTGCCGAGTCACCCTCCAAGAGGAGAGTCCAGGGACCTTTTATCTCCCTTCACCTCTTCACCTAGCTCCTCCCAGACCAGCCCTGATGCTGTACTTAGGCTGAATTTGTCCTCTCCTGAGGGGAGGGGGGACAGGGAAAACAGGGAATGCTGGTTTGGCCAGGGGATGGGTGTTGTCTGTTGACAGATCTGCCAGGATCCCAGGGCTGGGTCTGCCCCTGCGCACAGCATGTGGGATCTTAGTTCCCAGACCAGGGATTGAACCCATGCCCCCTGCAGTGGAAGCGCAGAGTCTTAACCACCGGACCACCAGGGAAGTCCCTGGCTCACCTCTTTATTACCAGGGAGGGACCAGTCTCCGGAAGGTACACCAGAGAACTTTGTAAAAACACAAACTGAATGAGAAAAACCAATCAGTTGGTCCCAGACCAGGTCCCAGGGAACCAGGTGTTTGCAGCTAAAAATGGAAGCACGACCTTTCAGCCAGCAGTCACAAGCTCCCCGGGCCTGTGCCTCGTCCCTGCAGACTCTGGGGGAAAAAAACCCTGCCTTACGGGAACCTGAGGTCCTCAAGGGAAATCCCAAGGACACAGGCAATGACACCCACAAAGGACCTGGGAGGCTGTGCCCATGCACCAGGCAGATCTGCATTTGCAACTTTAAGCTGCATCATTGTGACCTTGAACAAAGCTATAACCTCTCTGAGCCTTGATTGTTGTTTTGTCTCCCATGCTGTTTCTCTGCACAGATCTTCCTCCACTTACACTGGGATTACATCCTGATAAGCCCATCCTAAGGTGAGAACATACTGAACACCATAGCTTAGCCTAACCTACCTTAAACTTGCTCAGAATACGTACGTTAGCTGGCAGTTTATATTATAATAGAGCTGAACATCTCATGTAATTTACTGAATACTATACTAAAAGTGAAAAACAGAATGGTTGTCAGGGTACAGAATGGTCATAAGTGTATCCTTGTTGAGCCTGGTGATGGAGTGGCTGACAGAGGTGCCACCACGCTGCCCAGCATCACGAGAATATCCCACCGCATAATCCACAGCCAGCTGGGGAAAGATCAAATTCACAATTCGAAATGCGGTTTCTACTGAATGCCTATAGCTTTCGCCTCATCCTAATTGTATCGGGTTTCTCCCCGGCCCTTGTTACCGCTCCCTTATTTACCATGAGGGGGCCTTCCTTTTTGTCCCTCTGAACGCCCCCTCCATCGCCACGCCTCTGCACCACCCTCTGCGCTTGGCCTACACTTGGAGACATATAAGACAGTCCCCCTGGGGCTCCTGGGGTCCCTAGGATGAACCAGGGTCAATCCAACTCGTACAGGCCTTGGTAAGAAAGTATGGCCAACTCCCTTCACAGAAGAGGAAACAGAGGCTCCGAGGGATTCCGGGAGCCGCTCACGGTCTCCAGGCCGGCGTGCCAGCCTCAGGGGCCCTGAGCAAAAGAGTGACGATCCTAACCCAGAAAGTAAGTACGACGTCCAGCTGGTTTCCCATCCGGTGATTGCTTCGAGGCTCTTCTAGAAACAATAAAGTTTTTCCCTCAAATCGTTTCCCTGATTTCTCAAGCCCGCACCCCAGCCCGAAGTTCCCTGACCCGCGCTCCTCGCCTGCAAGGAGGGTCGCCTGCGTCGGAGGCCACGGCCCAGGTAGCCAGCAGAGGTTAAAGGTCCTGGGACCGCGGCGCGCGTGGACCCCTGGGGACTGGGGCCTGCAGCTGGTGAGCGGGGCGGGGCGGGGCGGGGCGGGGCGGGCGGGTGGGTAGGAGGAGCAGCGGTAGGTGGGCGGGGCCTGCGCCGCCCCCGATCCAGGCGGGGCCTGCGTCTGGCCCCACCCAGCGCGCTACTAAAGGCGACCGGCAGGCCCTGGGTTTCGCCAGACAGCAGGCGAACTGAGACCCCGTTTTCAGGGCCGGGCTGCGCCCCTCCGTCTGTTCTAACGCTGGTCCGGCCGCAAGGGGCTGAGTCTGCAGCCCGCAGGGACAGTCACGCTCCCGCGCCGCTCCCTGTCCCCGCCCCGCGCCCGGCCGGAGGAGCAGCGCCGCGAGCCCGGAGCCTGCAGTGACCGGACGAAGTAGAGGTGCGCGACTCAGACCCAAGCTCCTGGGTGCAGATCCCCGGCTGGGGCAGCCGAAGCTCGGGCCTGGTTCTGCGTCGACGGAGCGGCCCCGGCGGCCCGGGCCCCACCGGAGGAAGAATCCAGCGGAGCCGACGGTCGACGCGGAGCTTTGGAGGACGCCGCGCCCCAAGCCCGGGTGGGGAAACGGAGGTTCGCAGAGGGAGGGAGAGGGAGAGGGAGCGGGCCTGCCAGAGGCCACCGGGTGAGTCGGGGCCAAAGCCCCAAAACTCCGGCCCGGGGATCTTTATCTGACCTCGGGCGGACCCCCGCAGAGCTGTCAGGCGTCCCGCGCTCTTTGTGACCCGGGCCGGACCCAGCGCTTTAGAGCCCTTCCCGCACACCAGGGGCGGTGCGGATTGCGTCTTGCCACCTCACCAAGCCCCCTATAGCTGAGGTGGACTCCGAGGCTGTGGTGGAGCGGGCAGGAGAGCGCCTTGCCCAAGGTTACCGCCGAGAGCGGGTGAGAGCTGAAGCGCGTTCCCGCGGTCCCGGGAGAGCCCAGGCCCCCTCTCCCGGAGGAATGCGCTGCTACCACCCCTGCCCCCACCCCCATCCCGGGGGATCTATGCCGCCCCTCCCAGCGCATCACCCCTCCCCAGGCCGAGTGTGTCCCCGCGGTGCGGGCTCTGGGGTTGATTTCCGGCGTCCTCGCAGCTTCCCCTGGAATCCTCCAAGCCCCGCCCCACCCCACCCCCAAGCAATGTTCCCCTAGTCCCTAGGATGGCCGCCCTTAGCTCATCACAGAAGGTCAGCAGGGAGACCTGAGAGATAAGGCAGGTCTTTCCGGCCCAGTGCCTTTCCCAAGGCACAGCAGCAGGCTTTGGCTGAGTCCTGAGTCTCTGTCCTTCAGAACTGCCAGATCTGGGCCTGGGCCCAGCAGGACGAGGAGACAGCTGGAATCCACATCCCCGTGGTGAGGCCACCCAGGGGAGGGCAGGGCAGCAAAAATGGGGCCACTGTCCTGTGGATAAGGAGCATTCCTTTGCAGGTGTTTCCCGGACCCCGGAGACACAGACTCCGAGCCTGACACCCCTGAGAGAGGTGGGCTGATTCACCAAGGCACACCCAGACTCTGCAGTTACCCAGGCTCAGTTGCTGCCCACCCAGCCATGCACTGCCCCAGACTAGCCCTGGTCCTGGGGTTCTGCCTGCTGGTGGGCATGGCCCTCTGCTCTCTGTGGTGAGCATGCCCCATGGAGCCCTCCCTCCCTACCCCAGACCCCTCTGTCTCTCAGCATCTCAACCCCCAAACCTTGACCCCTTCACAGGATTCCCAGGTCCCACCCACTTCTCTCGGTGCACCTGTCCCTTCAGCCCAGCCCCAGTAAGACTGAACTAGCCTGACTTATGTATTTTGCTTTGCACTGGTCTGGCCTTTGCACTTGCTCTTCCCTCTGCCTGGACTGTCCTTCTAGCCATGTTAATGTTTATGCTCCAGAATTCACCCTATGTGTTCTTCCCACAAAGCTCTGGGGGCTGCCCCCAACCACCAGCCCCCTGTGTGCAGGGCCTGGCATCAAGAACATTCCTGTCCCAGGAATGAATGGCTGCATGGCTAGTGACTCATTGCAGAAGACCAGGAGGCTTTGTCCTGCGAGGTCAGCCAGACCCAAGGAATGATTGGGCGGGGGCGGGGGGAGGGGATGTGTATCCCAGGTGCACCACTCGGGGCCTGCATTCCCACTAACATGCAGCAAAGTGAGTTTTCAGCCTCACGTGCAAAGTCAGGTCAACAGATGTATTTCCTTCCCAGGGTGTATGTCGAGAACTGGCTGTCGGTCTCCTATGTCCCCTATTATCTCCCCTGCCCAGAGATCTTGTAAGTATGGGCTAGGGAGAATTGGGGGCCCCCGGAGTGGAGGGGATGAGAGGGTTTTTAAGGTCACTTTGTAGGTTCTTAGGTCCTAAGCTCATGATTCTGAGCAGTGTGATGAGCTGCCACAAATGTGGAGTGAAGTTCCCCTGTTTCAGTCCTTGGCTGTCCTTGCAGTGCCCCCTCCACAGTTGTGACCTTGAGCATGTTGCATAGCTCTGAGCCTCACTTGCTGTATCTATAAAATGGGATGATAGAGGTGCCCCTCTCGAGCCAGCCAGAGCATGGGGTACTGTAATGATACCTGTAAATATCCTGGTGTTGCACCTGGCACGTAGGAGGTGCTCAGGAAAGAG